TAAGCCTTGATGATCAAATTTAAAATTTAATTAAGTAGAAAATGATTTAAGATCCAAGGATAAGCCTTGATGATCTGGTTTTAAAATTAAGTGACTTTAAATTTTAATAAAGTTTTAAATTTGTGTAAAGGAAAGATTTAGTGTTTTGATGATATTAGTGAGTTGATGATTGCTATTATGTTTTAGGTGATGAAGCTGGAACAACAGGATGATTTATGATTACTAACCATTTATTGTCATGCTACTAATTTTTATTTTTATTTTCCAATAAATATTTTTCAAACATGTTTTGTATAATACTGCAGAGTTTTAGGAAAACGATCTTAGATCTTTTTATCAATCGTTATTGTATAATATTAATTTTGTTTAGCGCCTGAATTGATTTTGAAGAGTTACTTCAAGGTTTTATGTTTGCAAATGGAAATCTAAATTCATTGCAAGTAGTATTCGAAATACAAAAGTTTGTTCTGGCTTTTGCCGAACTATCATATAACTATACGGCAAGTTTCTACTTTGTCGTATGTCGTCTTTGGTTCGAGGTCTTCTTCCAATTCCGGGTAGTTCTATTATGGTTCGGAATATTGGCTCGGATCTATTGAGTCGGAGAGACATTTCAATTAAATTATTGTCGTATAACATTTTGTAAATGTTTTTGTCTAATTTCTAATCTAATTTTGGTTAATTCTAATCTAGTAAGGTCTTGTTCGAGACTTATGGTCGCACCAGATGAGTTAGGACTGGAGTGTATAACTCATAGAGTAATTTCGGATAGGGTACACCGTCTGCTCGTCACGCTATCTTATTTTCGGCCGGATAGATTCGTGCAACTTCTTAGTCTAATACCGATCCTAATCTTACTCTTATACTATCTAGTCTCAGGTTGTTTAACTAGTCTCTGCTAGGCTCAATAGATCTAGGGTATACTGGTTTATTGCGGCTGCTGAAGTGCTCGGGAGAGTCCAACTAATTTCTAAGTTAAATTCAAATCTCTCTGGTGCTGAAATTACAAGTAACTTCAGCACTTACAAATAAGTGGGTTGTTAGTTAGATGGATCATGATTGGTTAATATTAAATACTTTACATTGGTAAAACATTTAATTTATCCAATCATAAAATATAGTTTAGATCAGGTTCCAGCAGCCAGTTATCATAAAATTTTATTAAAAATAGCTTAAAAGCCAGTGTAGACAAAAAAAAACAAAAGATTGCTGATGATAATTTTTCAATTCAAAATTGCCTATGAAAATGAGCTGACTTCACTATTAGGATTGCATGTAAAAAATACTTTTTAAGATTTTAGACGAGTTGTAAGATAAACTGCATTTGGCAAAAAAAAACACCTAAAAACTCGATTTAGAGCATAGGCTTGTATTCATCATTGGTTTAAATTTCATTATAAATTTTGAGGACCTGGACAAGTTTATCGTCAACAATTAAGACTACGATAAAAAATTTGAGGTCGGCTTTGAAAGTTTGAATTTCATACTTTTCCCATGAGCTAAAAACTAAGAACTAAAATGTCTTTTTCATATTTAAGTAACATCATCATTTATAATTTTTGTTCTACTATAGTTAATATACCATTTGGGGTCTATAAAAAGCCAAAAATTGTTAAAATGGTTTTGAAAGGATTAGTCCTGAAAAAATTTCAAAATCATGAATTTAAGCTGCTTGCTTCTTCATAATCAAAAGGTGAGAAAAAGTTTCAGACGGATTTTCAGTGTATAGTGATTTCCAGAAATCTGAGAATTGGAATCCTTTCAGTCGTTTTAAAATTAGAGTAAGGTGGCGCGTACATATTTAAAAAAACTAAAACTTTCGTGCGCTTTAGAAAGGTTAAGAGAAACTTAGAAAATTAGACGAGAACAAATTAGACGATCCGAAAAAAAACTGAGTTTAGACAATAGCCTGCGTGCGTGCTAAATGCGTGAAAGTTGTTCACTGATTTAAATTAGTTTTTGGCTGAGCATTCGACTCTTTGTTCAAACTCAGATCGATAATTAAAAGCCAAAGTTGCATACTACACGATTATTTGAAAAAATTAATTCATTGATTTGATCCGTTTTGGGATAATAGACTCTTTTGATAGTTGTGTAGTTTCATTCTAACGAAAATTTTGTTGAAATTGCTGCTGAAATTTTTCTGTCCTCTTCTTTCAAATTGTCAGTCGTTTTGTCTAAATTCAGTTAATTTGCTATCTAAGTTATTTTAGGATAGTCTCGTTTGTTTGTCGTCTTATTTCCAAATACAACAATCGGGTCACAAAAACGCGTCGAAATTTGCCAGGTCGTGCCCGCACTGAAATATAAAAAAAACCAATTATATTGTATTTTTAGTGTCACCCTCTAAAAAATAACGATTAAAAATGAATTATCATGATACTTTTTTAAGCAATTAAATTCTATTATAATTGATTATAATCAATTATAATCTATTATTTTTAGCTTTTTTTCAAAAGAATTTATCAAAAGAAAAATAATCAATTTTAATCGATAATAATGGATTATAACCCAATTATTGAAAACTTTCGGTTTGCTGTTTTCATTTTTTCACAATAAGTATGTTATTATGATCCTCACTAAATCTCAACTCTTTCGTATTCTAAATCGCGTTTATGAAAATTTATTAGAAGTCATGTATTTATTTTAGTAATTAGCATCAATTAAAAACTAAAAGTTCTTCAAATTATGTTTTGAAAGTTTCTAAATCTCTTTTAAGCGAGTATAAAGTTTTTCGTATAAAGAGAAAAGTCGATCAGAAATTCTGACTCATCGAATTTTGTTTGAGTAATTGTCTGCAAAAACAGTTGAAATAAAAAAGACAAACCAAAAATTTTTGTGGATCTCTAAAACCTTTTACACAAATAAAAACAAGTCTGCTCGTATCAGGGCGAAGCACTGAATGTTCTCTATATCTTTTAAGCTCTAAAAACTCTAAAAAACTAAATGTAATAAGTAAAAGGAATAAAAAATACAAAATTTGAGGTTATTCGTAAAATTCGTCTCCTCATACGCCAAATAAAGTACAAAGTGATAAACTTCGCTCCTAATAACAAATCAATTATGGCAATTAAGTTTTTTTTCAACCAATTTAGAACGATTTCCTAGACGATTTAAGTATCCGCTTACGCGTTATTAGCGCAAAATATACCGCGCGCTAATTGTTCCAACTTGGTCAAAATTGCAATCTTTATCCATCGTAACTTTACGAAAAAAGATCATTGACGAAATTTTTTCGTCAAGTTTAAGCTCAGGAAAACAATACTTTTGAATAATATGAAATTCCGTAGAAAATGGCCGGTTAAAAAATCGAAAATTGTACAAAAAAAACTACCTCGAGCACAAATCTTCTGCTAGTTTCTTTATAAAACTCGGAACAAAAGCAAAAACTAGAAAACATAGGCGGAAAAAAATAAAATATCAAATACTTTTGATAAACTAATCCTAACTTCTAAACTAGCTCCTTTCGCATTCAAAATTGTCCTATTTTGTCCTAGATAACCAAATTGGACGTAAAGGTAAACAAACATATTGATGAAATTCTTGCCTTTGGAAAAACTCATTTAGCAAAAGGTTCTTGGGTAACTAAGAATCTTTCAAGAATAAATCTCTCCGTCCATAAAAAATTGCCCCCAACGCACCCTGGAATATATTAAAACAAAAAGCTTCAGGATGATAATAATTGACAAATGAAAAGTATTTCAAGCTTGTTGTGATTCTAAGAAAGATTTATGAAAGTTTTGCATTTTTTCATGCAATTTTTAAACAAAATGTATATTCATAAATTAACTAAACAAAATTGTTTTTGAGCACTCAAGATCGTTTCTTCTCTACAAAACTCATACCAGTAAAAATGAAAATTGAACAATGGTTACAAAATCAGCTGGAATGGAAATTTTAGTTTCATTTTTTTCACAAGAACGAAGCTCAAATACAATTTTCTGGCAATTAGTTACAGTCCTTCAATCAATGCCTCGTTTTTGATATTTTGACATACGAATAATAATGGAAGAAATTTTGTTGGATCAAAACAATGAAAAAAAAAAAAGCTACATCAAAAACATCATCGCCAAAGACAGAAGTTTTTTCTTAGATTCCGACTTTTCTTGTGTTTAGTTATAGAATGCAAAGTAGTGAGACAAAAAACTTGAAAATAACAAGGTTAAATGCCTTTGAAATATAAACACGCAGATTTTAGCCAAATCAGAGGTTTGTTTTTATAGGTCATTTATACTGGAAAAAAAACATTCCGTGTATAAACTTAAAATAGTTTTTTTTATCATAACTTTTACATTATTCGGGAATGGGTTTATTATTTGTCTGATAGGGATGAGTTTTATCTGAACTTTTCCTCCTCCGTCTTTTTAATCCTGGGTAGAGCATCTTCGGTGCACATTGAGTCGCAACGTTGTTCTTTGAGAAAAAAATGAACTTGATTTTTCCTTATACAGTGCAAAAGCTACAGTTTATAGGCTAGTTAGGTTCTTTGGTATGTCTGCGCAAATCTATCTAAATAACTTTTTGCGCGGACACACCCAAAAAGTTCAACTAGCCTGGAAACTGTTGTTTTTGCACTGTATAAGGAGAAAACCAAGTTCATTCTTTTCTCAAAGAACAGCGTTGCGACTCTAAACTCAATGTGCACCGGAAATGCTCGTCATTAAAATTTTTGTCTCTCCGAAAGTTTTGTTTGACTGGCCAAAGAACTGCTCGATCAGTATATTTTTTGATCTATTCAGGTTCTTCTGAAAAATGTTACCTTCCATGTGTTCAAAAATTAGCTGTGTGACTAAAATATTACGAAAAAAAAACTAACTAACTTGCTTTGGTTAAAACAAAATGTTTTCCCCTAACTGTTAATTCGAATTGACAAATACTGATTAATACAATTCGATCGTTATTAACCAAAGCATGCAAGGATATTTTGAGTTTTTTTTTTCATTTTTGTTCACAGATAAATATTTCAAACTCACAAGAACGAACAAAAAGGAAGAGTTTACCTTGTATTGAAAGGTCTTCGGGGTCAATCAGGTTTGCTTCTTCATAAGGTCTCCAGGGTAAAAAGCGCCTCACAACATACATGGCTGAAACAAAAACATGGCTGCACAAAAGCAAACACTTATTCTTTCGTTTAAATTGGTGCAACTGATAACAACTTCTGAAGGCAACAACACCTGGAAGGTCAGAGAAAAAACTATAGTTTTCAAACTTATAAGAGCAGAGTCCTTTTTTTCCGCGCGTTTGAGCTTTTTCAGTTGTTTTTGAAAATATATCGAAATAGTAGATCAAAACAAAAGCAATATAGTACCCAAATATTATCAGCCCTCTTTTTATTCGCGATTTAATTTTTATTGCCAAAAATGAAATAAGAAGAATATGCAAAACAAAATTAATCATAAATTTCCTTAAAGCAAAATCCTTAGTAACTCATTTTACTATTTTCGAAATTTCGGTCTTTTTTAAATTTGAATGTTTGCAAAACATTCAAACTCATTCGTTGAAATGATCATATTTCTTTTTTCACTGTTTTATTCCGACCTATTTTTGAGACTGAACTTTTGGTAGCACAATTACTTATGGCTCGGCGCTAAAATTTTAAGACACTTGATTTTTTGAACGAGTAAAAACCTGCGTTAATTTTTTGTTCTCATTTCCGCGCTACATTAAATGCAGCTGGAAACACGAACCGCTATTAAATATTCATTCAACAGATTTTCTTACGTACTTAGTTTTTGTTGTTGGCTTTGAGGTAAAACATTTTGTCGTTTTTTCAAAAACTTCCTAAGTGGTAACACCTGCTTCAAGGACAGCTTTTTGCTCGTTTCTATTCATATCACTTGTCATTAAATTCTTTCAGGTCGGCTCCTATCAAATCGAAGAGCAGGCGGATATATAAATTATTAACATGTTTCCCCTCTGAAGAGTCGCAATTCAGTTTTTTGGCGCCAAAAAAACTAGAGAGTCCAATTCAGAGTCGCAACTCAGTTTTTTGTAGTGAAGCCACAAGTTAATTCAAAGATAATTTTAAGATTCACCAGCGGTTTTAGGGGGGGGGGGGTGGTGGGAATCGGCGAACGCCTTTTTTCTCCTCAGGGATTCGACCCCCTGCCGACCCTTTGTACTATTTTGATATTTTGAGAAGTTATTTTTCGGCTTACTGACCTCAAAGTTTTTCTAAGACGCCTTGGGCGCCAAAATATACTTAAAAAAACCGCCTATAGCGCAGAAATTTTTGTAATGATTTGGTAAAGCTCAAAAAATTAATTTGGTCGACATAAAAAAAGTCGACAAAAACTTCAACATTTTTTTGAAAATCTCCCCATTGAGAAAATCCTAAATCCACCCTTGCTAAAATCTCTTGAGTTTTTTGTTTTAGGTGGTTTCTAGGAACTCGAAAAACCTCGAAAAAAATCATTTTCATCAGAATATCCATGAGAAAATAATTAAACTTGATGTAATTTTCTTTATTTTTAATCTTTCAAGTTTTGTATACAATGTTTATTTTCGTTTAATGTCATTTTCATTTTAAAAAACCAATTACTCATTTGTAATAAGTTTGAAAACGATTTGCTTGTTTCTTTTTTGCAGAAAATATCTTTCTTAAACTTTGTTGCTCCACATAAGAGGTGCAATTCGACCTAATTTTGCCAGTAATTGATTTCATTGCTGTAGTTTTGGCATTTTGATTGACTACAAAAAGCCGAGTTTTTTGGCAGTTTTTTTGGGCCCAATAATAATTCTGCTAAAAACTTAACTAAGTATTGTCTTGATCTTTTTCCGTTTAAATTCAACCCAATTATAATTTTTAGGAGAAAAAAAAACTTTGCGTCCTGTCTGAAGTGACATCAGCACTTCAGCTTTATAGGATTTTAAAAAAATTTTGTTCTGCGAAAGTCAGTTCACAAGTTGGAAACAAAATATTTTGCGTTGATGGTCGAAACTGTAAACATTATCCAAGAAACCGATTCTATGGATCAAGAATGCATTTTAGGGAGAAAATATCATAATTTAGAACGTGTGAATGAACTAGACCTTAATTCCTAATTGAACTATTTTTGTTGCATGTATTTTTTCCCACTGATGACAGCTCTATAAACCCACAAACTATAACTCTCATTAAAAGTCTTATAAAAACTTTTATTACAATTTTCTCGTTTTGCAATAATCCGCAAAAGTGTTAATCATAACAGACATGCCCATTTTAATTTTTTCGAAACTTTAAGATGTAAATATCAAAGATATTTAACCGACGAATTTCTTGAGCGTGGAAGACAAATTACAAATCTACAAGTGACCCAAAAAACATGTGGTTGTTGCTAAGTGAATAAGTTTCATTCAAAAAGTTCGGAATCAAGAAGAGTCAAAGTCGACTTCTTTCTCGAGAGACTTCGTGTAGCTGCACGAAACTGTAATTTTTCAGAACTGAAAACTACAACTGATGCGGAGAAAAAATGATACAATTGAAAATCCGGATTAAGAAAAGCTTAGTACTCAAACCAAACAAGACTGCTCGTATCAGGGCGAAGCCCTGAATGTTCCGACTGCCTTTTAAGGTTTTATGGAGCAGTAATGACATTAAAAATTTGAATGCAATAAAAAACCGAAAATCATCCCCCCACACGCCATATAAAGTACAAAAGGATAGATTTCGCTCCTTGTAACAAATCAATTATGGCAAATAAGCTTCGCTTCTTTCAACCAATTTTAGGACGGATTAACTCTCCGCTTACGCGTTAATAGCGCAAATAAATCGCGCGTTAATTGTCCCAAATTGGCCAAAATGGCAACCTTTAAATCCCCATAACTTCACAAAAAATAATCACAGGTGAGATATTTTTTCAAATTTGAGCTCAGGACAACAATAGCTTTTGAATGATATAAAAAAATTCCGTCAAAAATGGCTAGATAAAAAGTCGGAATTTGTCTGAAGAAAAAAAAACCCACCCCGAGCACTATTATTCTGTTACTTTCGTATCGAAAGTCGGAACAATAATGCTCGTAGAGTTAAAATGTGAATTAACTGGTATATGCAAACAGTCTTGCTGGGATATCTTCGGTTCAATCCTGCTTAAAGAACGTCCTTTTTGCACACATCGAGAGACAACAGGCCTTAACGGAATGAAAATCTTTATTTAAACAAATGGTTTGTTTGAATACGTCTGAGCGTTGATTGAAGAGAAGTCTCAGAAGCTGGGTCAAATTACAAGAAAGAAACAGCAGATTCAAGACAATATAAGAAAACATAGTCAACAAAGGTGGTACACTTTCAGACCAACGAGTTTCAGAAGACAAGTGATAGTCGATGCTCTCAAATATTATAGAGGAAGACAAGCAACCAAAAGATTTCCTGGAACGGTTTCCTGGTGGTCTAATAAATCAAATTCCAGGTAGTCAGGAACTGAACAAACATCCAATGTGAACTGGATAAACATCACTTAGCTTGTTCGTTGTTTGCGCAGGAAGTGGGTAGTTGAGGCTTCAGACCGATGATGGCAAATGACTGATATGACTAGCCTATCGGCAGCTGTTCCAAAATTCTGAGTGCCAAAAATTTAGTCTCTGACAAGTTGAACTTTTTTCAGCTGTGAATTTAGTGACTGGTGCAAACAGCAAACAAGTCTCCAAACTAATGAAAAATTATCACCGGTGCTCAGCTCACTAGCAGTTACACTGGCAAAAAGAGCAGTCTAGAAACTAAACATAACTTAAAATTTTTCGACGAGAGCTATTTTTGCATCAATATACATTCAAAGCAGAAGAAAAAACTCCAAAACATGTTGTCGAAAAAATAAAAGAGAATATTTGCAGTAATAGCTTGATTTCAACGCATAAAAATTTTGATCGAGCTAAATAAAGACACAGAAGCGAAACTGGTAAACATCACTGATCGACCTCCATAGACCGAAAATGCTAATCATACAATTTCATACACTTAGTCTATGGAAAAATGCTAGTCATACAAATTTCATGCATTTTTGCAAAATGAGTTTAATTGAATTTTAAAGGTATTTTATAGTTGTTTTGGTATCGAAATTGGTGTCTCTTCATAAATAAAAGGAAAAAAATAACATGAAAAAAACTGCTACCCATACAATTTCCATATATGGAAATTGTATGATAAGAATTAAAAAAAAAAAAATTTGTGAAAAAAAAAGCTTTGAACAATCAATTCAACTGCTGGCAAAGCATTTAAGCGTTTTTTGGGCTGCTACGACTGAAAACTTCGACTTTTTTTATTTTTGTTTTCTGAAAAAAAAACACTAGTCATACAATTTCCATATATGGAAATTGTATGACTAGAATTTTTTTGATGGCGACGACAAAAATTTTTCTAAGTATTTTTGAAATTGCCCCCAAAAATTTTTTATGGTTTTTTTCAACCGCAAAATGATTTTCGTATTCAAATAAACATTTTTTGAAAAAAAAAAATTTGCATGCAAAATTTAATTTTTTGTGTGTATAACGTAGTCCTGGATATACAAATATTGGATTTTTTTTCCTTTTCTCTTCATAACTTTTTTCAGAAACGCTTAAAACTCCTCGTTCTTTTGTATGACATGTTTTTGAATGCCTTGATCAATGTTTGGTAATTTAAAAATTCAAATTTTAGAAATAATCATCTTTGAAAATTATTGCCAAAATTTAAAAGTTCATTACTTTCGTTATATTGTTTGTCTGAGACAGAAGTAACACATATGAGGCTGTTTCCAATGCATTTTCAATGTAAGAAGGCCAAACCGTTGGTTACTACGTTTGAGTAATCAAGGTTTATGTCATTTGTGTTCGGTTACGAACACAACCACAAAATTTTGAGAAATTAAAATGTAAAAAATCATAATTTTTGGTTTATGGAAAAATGCTAGTCATACAATTTCCATATATGAAAAAAATACTAATCATAGACCTTTCATGCAATTTTCTGTACGTATGGAATTGCATGAAAAGTGTATGACTAGCATTTTTCCATATATGGAAATTGTATGACTAGTATTTTTGGTCATCCCGGGAAACCACTACAGATTGGAATCAACCCAATCAATCAGAACGGACACTCTGCAATCCAGAGGCAAGCCTAAAAACATGT